TTAATATTTTTTAATTTTTTTAATATATTACTACATGTAAGTTGTAAAATAAAGCAAAAAAAATAAGGACAATTCTGTCATTTTATATTACTGAAATCAAATTCATCTGACATGTCTGCGAACCAAACAAAATATGAAATTGAATTTCAATTCGTACAGATTCTAATTCCTTCACAGATTTCAATTCTCTCGTAAACATTCAAACGAACCAAAACCCACCTTAATTTCAAACTCTCACTACATGCTCTCATCGATTATCACCGTCACCGTCCGCCGGTGGAACCCATTACCGGTCACTGCTAATTTCCCTTTCCGTCCTTTCACTTTCCCTTGCAATTTGACGTTGTATTCTTTCGTAGCTAACTCCTCAAAGTTCAACTTCTTCACCATGGATACAAGCCTTGCCAGCTTTGCCTTCATCGTTCATTTTTCTTCAAAATTGGAGAAAATCACACCCCCTTGTTTTTCATCTTCAATGCAAGAAATTTTTAGTGTTTTAGAGTTGTGGGATTTAATTATTTGGAGTGACGACAAGAGTGATGGGCAGTCAATGTGAGATCGACGATAAGTGGATGGTCATTCGGTGACGGAGACTATGGTTGAAGATGGACGGCCGCTAGAAATGGGGTTTAAAATTAAGGGTTTTAATAAATTTGGGTAATTTTTTAAATAATAATATTTTAAAGTTTTTTAAATAAAATTTTAAATATATATAAATGTTACACGTCACTTAAAGTTTTTTTAACGGCTATTACGGTGTAGACGCCTAAAAGTGTAACTTTAAAATGTTAGACAAATATTTTTAACGAAAAGACCTAAAGTTAATTTTAAGTATAATTTAGACACTTATTTTTATGCTAAACTTTTCAATTTACAACATAATATGTAAAATAACATTTTATCTTTTTTAAAACTACTTTTTAATAATAATCTCAAATAATTAAATTTTAAATTACACTTTTCAAAAATATTTTCTACAATATTTTTAAAATTATTTTTCAAAAGCAATACTAAACTAGTAACTAGTAAGTAAATTTGTGAGCCAACTGAACTAAAGTGAACTGATACGAAATTTGTAAGCCCTGGGCTTAAAGATATCCACTGTTGGCACGTTTGTTTCTGCTTATGAGACAGCTGTTCATAGGTTAAATGGTGTTGTGTTTTAGCAGGTGAATTGCAAGACTAATATGAGATGGAGTTTGAGAAAATTGTTTACACTTGGACCCGAGGCTAATCAAGTCTTTGGCACACTACTTGATTTTAGTAATGTATCCACAAATCCGATTTGGGATGAGCTGAGGATCAAGAGAAGTAAGGCGTCCCTAGCATAACTGATCCGCTACTCTCTCCATACTCCCAAGCATACAATCGATTCATGGCTGCTGGTTATTCTAGTAAGATTTGCAACCAGAGATAAGCTGATACAAATCCGGGTTTCTGTTGATGGTTGCTGCAAATTGTGTGGCACTGAACTGGAAACTAGAAACCATTTGTCCTTTGCATGTCAATTCTCCAACTCAATTTGAGAGTCTATTCGTTAATTGTGTGGTGTCAACATAAATTTCATGGAATATAATTCATAGTTAATCAAAAACAAAAGAAGATATAAAAAGATACTTTCTGTAGCATCGTCCAGATATAGTTTACCAATCTATTGGCTTGCTATTAGCCATCCTCAAATTCTCCAATCAAATTTTGTTTTCCTTTCAACTGTAATTGGCTTGATTACAGACCCAAAGCTTCCAAGCTTGCTAAAGATGCTGATATGGGCGCAGAATCAACAGTTTAAAGCAAGAATTGGGGCTAAAATCTCTAATGTTATTGTTATGTTCACTGCAATTTCTCTCCATTCTAGTAAATATGAACCATCATGTACCACGGAAATCTGCCATAGGAAGCGCAAAATTACAAGAAAACGAAAATGAACCAAAATACAAATTATTGAAAATGAAAAGCGTTTCCAAACTACTTATCTAATAATGTCTGTCCACCAAAAATCATAGCTAGACCACCTTAGAACTCCTGGATTTGTCTACGATTTGACCCGAAGAACATAAACCCATATAATATCATTCTCGTACTCGGAACAATCCTGAAATGGAGCAAATTAATTGCATTTTCTCCGACACCCGAGTGGCAAACCATCGTCGAAATTGAGAGCATAGCTTGAAGGATCATACTGGAACTTGAACTGCCTTTTGCTTCTACTCTTCACAGCTTTCCTCATTGCAGCTTTCGCTCTCCAAAGCAGACTTTTGCATTGCTTCTTACCAAAACTATTCACCCATTCCAACCTCCCCATGAAATCCATATAACCTCCCCCCTTTTTTTTGTGTCTCTTATTAGAAGCAAAACTCAATGACCCTTCATACAAATGCAGAGAAAGATCAAGGAAGGAGGGTTTATATACAGGGATGGAAATAAATACAGATTACACAATAGAGTGTAATCTTTTTTTCGTTTTTCAAAGAAGCTGCGCAGCTACACTTTCAGCCTTCCCTATGGTTGTAGTATCACTATCAGATATGAGAGACTCGTCTTTTTTTATTCAGCTACTTCCTTAGTTATCAGTCCCTATTGTAAAAATCATTTTTTTATAAAATATCTGTCAAGTTTTATTGAGGTCAAAACTAACAGTAGATTTTTCTGTTTACAGAATTTTGTATTACCATATTTGTGATCTCTTCAAACCCGATTTATGAGTGGTTGAGTTTTATGTGTTTGTTTTTTCAAAAACGGGAACTTGTATCATTTTATGTTGAAATTTAAAATTCAAAACATTGATCAGTCAAAATTTAGAATCTTGGCCTGGGACTAGGTGGCTGTTTTGCATGATCTTTCCCCACAAGCACCTCGCTTGTTGTCTTCATCTTGAAAGCCGTTTTGCTTTTATTTATTCTAAGAAAAATTCCCTTTTGTCTCATTTAACAACTCCACTCCTCAATTCAATGCTTTATCCTGTTTGATTCCACTGTATACATGTTGCGGAAATTGCTGGTCCCGTGTCAGAGATGATAAGTCATTTTAATCCAACAAGGAAATCTTTACCCAAGTTTTGGCACCAATCCCCTCTACAAACAAGCCATTCCATTTCTGGTTCGGTTTTCAAGTGTCAGGTCTCGTTCACATGGATTGATCTTCAAGTTCGGTCCATGTTGGTTGTCAACTGGGAATTTGTGCTTCGTTAAACCCTTTTCTTTTTGGATCAATGGATGGCTTTAGGCTTGCCCCAAGATAGCATCCAACACTAGCAACTAGCTGGATTTAAGAAGGTGCAAACCCAAACCATATTCATTCCCATCATTCCCATCGGCAATCTCTCTCAAGTGTAGCTGGATTTCCTTGTAATTTGTGCCTCATTTCCTTTCTTGATGATCTATTCATGTGCAGCTGCAGGCTATCTCTGCAACAATCTTGTCTTAGCAATTTAGGTCTGCTGCTATGCTACATCTTATATATCATTATATTGCATACACATAAAAATAATCAAGTTCGATGGAACGACATTGACAAAACTGGAAATGGCAGCTTGATTTGTCAAGAGTCGCATGCCATGTTTTTTGTCTGTTATCTTGAACAAGAAGAAGATAAAAACAAAGGCAAATGTTGCCATTTCTGAAATCCACATGGGAATAAAAAGCAGAAAAAGATTATCCTGGTTGTGTGATAAGGGATATAAAAAGAAACTACTTTAATCACTTTATTGGCATGAAGTAAAGGACATTCCTTGATAAGCTAACCTACTTCCTAGAACAGAGTTTATGCTGCCTTAATGAGGAGCAAAAGTGTGGCATTCCAGACGTTGTATCATAGCAGCGGTATCTTATATAGATTTGCTCCTCGCACTTTTTGTCTCACCAGTAAGTACGGATACCAAAGCATATGCTTGTAAGAGTGAGTAGTCGCTCGGATTTTTTTAACAACAATGTATTATTATTGGTCGAATAAAATCAGTGTAAGGGGCCAATCACCTAACCACTTCTTCTAAGACTTGGCCGCCTAGAAAAGCTTTGTCGTACAATGGTCCCAACACGTGATTTATGATCACCGGAAACAAAGCTATTACACTAATAACTTGTATTCATGTCTATACAAAGTCAAAGAAAACTATGAAAATCTTTCAGCAAACAAGAAAACTATGCAACAGACAACCTAAGCCAAAAGCATTAAAATCATTCTAATGGTTGATGAAAGGAAAAACACCAACAATAAAAATACTAGATTTCATTTCCCCGTGCTTGGATCCTACGCATCCTCCACTCTCTATTCTTAGTCGATGGCTGCATACTTACCATTTTTCTTGTGTTACCCGCCATAGTGTTTTCCTTAAATCTTGCACTAATCTCTACATTAAACCTTACCGGTTGACATTGTAACAAACCATAGGAACCCCGGTTAGGCTTTATCACCTTTCCCTACTAATCAGATGGGTTCGTTCCCTTCCTCTCCATGGCCAACACCACCACCACCATCACCTAAATTCGACCATTCTTGTTATCGAGTTATCATGCCTTTTTGTTCTAAAAGAGGGCGTATTAACTTTTCTAATTGTATACAAAGTTACAATCCGTCTAATCACACATGGAGTCATATGATCTTAATTCCAAGCCTACTTGAAAATCATGTCTTGAAGGGTTCCGCTATGATATCTCTTGGAGAGTCTATTTACATTATCGGTGGGAGGTTATCTCAAAATTCAAGTGGATTTGATGAGTTTATTGATGCTAGTGGCCAAGTGTCACCTTTAGTACTTCGTTACAATGTTCGGGGTGACCTATGGTCTAAATGTGTAACAATAGGCGTACCGCGGTACGATTTTGCTTGTTGTGTCTGACAATAAAATTTATGTGGCAGGAGGGAAGTCCAATTTGGACAATGTTTGAGGGATTTCATTGGCTGAGGTGTACGATCCTTCCCTTGACAAATGGAATCCATTGCCTAGCATGAACAGCTTAAGAAACAAATGTGTTGGGCTGACATGGCAAGGTAAAATCTATGTGATGGGCGGTTTCGCCCAAATAGGTGATTCTGATATAAACCAGCTGACATTTGCTCCACAGCATAGCTCCGTCAAGGTGTTCGACACGCGTGCAGGGACATGGGACCTCTCAGAGCGAATTTGGAAACTGAATGTTCCACCTAATCAAATCGTTGAAGTGGATGGCAAGTTGTTTAGCTCCGGGCATTGTTTCAAGCCATGGAAAGGTCACATTGATGTGTATGATGGGATGCAGAATATGTGGGACGAAGTGGATGGATCTCGTTTCCAAACTCTTAATTCACCGGTCTCCACATTAGGTGACAATAACAATGAAAATTGGCCGCTAATGAAACGGCTTTACTTAACAATGGCACCAATAGGAAACCATTTATACTTCCTGACAGGGTATCGGATGGCTGGTGAATCGCCACGAACAGTTTCGATGGTCTACACATTTGATACATCGGTAACTACTGATGCATGGAAGAGCTTAGAGCCAACAGCGGAAGACGGCAGAAAGAGCTATGCAGTCGTTGTTGTGTCGTTCAGCTCTCGTAAGCAGTCTTTGCCTTAGCCATCAAAACCATCTTACTGGGCCATCCACCTTTAGATTACTAAGGTTTACCATGTTGTCTAAGGTTTGCAAAGGCATGGTGAATTAGTATCGTGTAAAAATAACATATTTACTTCTCATAAAAGAGCATATTTACGAGCACGTTTTGAAACAAGAAACAATGCTGCTTTCTAATTGGGTCCATATCATCGAATGGACAATAATTTCCAGTGTGACATCCTTCTTTTCCTTGCAAATCACTTCGCTTAATAATAACCGAAATAAGTCTAAGATCTTCAATATATAGTAATGCACAAAAAAGGCTTGTAATAAGGGATAATAATTTGGTAAAGAGTTAATCTTTTCTCTTTTTTTTTTCTTTTTATGCCGTAATTTTTATTTTTCATCTTTATGACTGACGGTAGTATCGATTTTAGTGTTAATCGTTAATCATCGGTATTCATTTTTTTTATTTTATAATATATTTATTTTTCTTATTTTTTTAAATTTTAATAATTATTCCTTTATGATACGATTTCTTCTGTTTTTATGACACGTTTTTCTCTGTCTTTTGGCACGTTTTCGATCATTTGGATGTTGTTTTCCTTTATCTTTTTCCTCAATGTTAGATTTGATACCGTTAGGACTAATCAAGATGGCGTTTTTGTTATCATGTTGGTCTTCCCTGATTTAGACCCTCAAATTGGATTTAGATATGTGATTTACGTTCGTGGATATTTTCTCATGTCACTCCTTTTTATTTGCGATTTATCGGTAATCTTTAAATAGTTTGATATCTTTTGTGGTTCGTTTATTGATACGACTACATATGTTCATATTTATCTTTTGTTCAAGTTTATTTGATTATATTATTTAACCTTTTCCTTGTATATGGTCTTTATGTGATCTTAAATAGTTAATTTTTTTATGTTAATGATTATAGAAAAATATTATTATTATATGTTTAATTTATGATTATATTTGTAAACATTTATTGTAATTTAGATATTTTTTATTTTTAACAAAATTAGCAGTTTTTATCCTGTCAAATAATGATTTGATAAAAAGTTTATATTTAGATTTTTGCTTTATTTATATTTATTAAATAAGGAATAAGATTTGTGTGTGTGCACACATTTTTGGTTTACACATTTGTGTTCACACATTTTTTTCGACCTGGCCATTTACGTATATTTTAGTCCCCTCCACATGTTTTATATGTGGATTCAAGTAAAGAAAAAAAATAGTTTTCATCAAGCAAATAGTCAGTCAAGAATTAAAAATAATTATAGTACAATAACTCATATGATACAATAATTATATACATTATTTTATTTATTTATGATAATCAATAATAAAAAATGAGATGAATATCCAGCTCAGTTGGTAGAGCACAAGGTTCTTAATCTTGAGGTCGTAGGATCGAGTCCCACGGAGTGCATTTCATAATTCGGAGGTCTTCTAAGAAAGCTGCTCTCAACCTGGTGTTGGAGGCAGCCTACTATCTTACCTCTCCCTTACCCCATTACATATACGAACAAGGAACAACCATTAAATAATGAAAAATTTGGGGTCAAAGACGGAAGAGGCTTTTACTATCCTTAAAAGAAGAGAAAGTGCACCAAAAACTCAGGCCAACAAAAAGCAAGTAAAAGATGTTAGCAAGAACCACCTGATCCCTTGACCAACAGATCCCGCCCTGGATGATTGATTACTTGGTCAATTTCTACACCAGGACACGCTATCATACGTGTAATGCAACAGTACACGCGTGAGATTCTGTTAACGAAGTTTTACCCATTTGACTGAACCAAAGTCGACGGCTATGATCCGCTAGACTGAAACAAGTGATCGAGACCGTTGAGACAAAGGACAATCATAGAGTTTTAATGTCCACATGCTGCTTACAATAGAGCCCGAAAAGGCCGACAGAAGAAGCCCGGTGATATGTCGGATTTTATCTCCATCTCTCTTTATGTGCAAGTCTTTTAAGTATTATCATCAAAATAATAACAACATGATTTGGCCCATGGAGATAAAATCAAAACAAAGAGCTTCCCTTTTAAGCATAAAACACGAAAGTTTGATAAAACATGTTAGACATGATTGTGATTCTAACTTCATAAAGTATTCTAACAATTGCGTTCACAGTATATGTTTAAAAAAAATTAAATAGATAATATCTTAAAAATAAATATTATAATTTCTTAATCATGTCCAACTCGAACAGAAGGCCAAAACTCTAGTTTTAGACGAGGATTCCGTAAGGACCGAAATAAGAAACTTAACAAGTAAATTTCAATTCTTAATTTTGCTTTATCCTTCCAAAGAAAAAAATAATCAATTTGCAAATACGCAAAATTTTGTTTGTTCTTCCACCAACAAATAAATAATAACAAAAAAGTTACAAGTTGTACATTTGTGCTGTAATAGTAGCAAAAGAAATAGAAAACCTTCAAGTTCCCAAGTTTATTTTTCACTCCCAGGCCACCTCCATGTAATGATAGCGCACATGCTTCCTTCTCTCTCTCCTAAAGCTCCAAATCTAACAAGTTTAATTAGTACTCCAAGAAGCTTAGGTTATGGTGTAATTGCTTTAAGTAATGCGATAACCTTCTCACTATAAAAAGCCCCTTTCTGTCTCTTTCACTGGGAGCTACGTGATGAGAGTTGAATAAGATCTACAACTTCTTTCTTTTTTTCTATAAAAAATGGAACAGGAAAAAAGCTACTCGTATAGTTGGCCACCGGTTGGAGCTCCATTGAATGTAGAAACAGAGGACCACTGGAGACATGTTGACAACTCTGTCAATGCGGTGTCTTTTGGCTTTGTTGCAACCGCCATTCTTATCTCCATGTTCTTAGTCATGGCCATCTTTGAACGGTTTCTTAAACCCAACTCTTCCCCTGGTGGCAGTAACCATGAAGAATCTCAGCTTAGTTTCAATGGCAAGCTCAGCCACCCATCACCAAAAGTGAGTTGACCCTTTTGCTTCCATATCTGGGGTTTCTTCTATATGATCCAAGCCTCTTCTCTTTTTTCTTTGAATTTGATTGTTTAGCATGATATTCCTGGGAGGGGGGTTAAAAGTGGTTGATTACTTTGCTTTTCATAAAGCAAACTAAATTTAACTTGATCCAAAAGGGAGGGTTTTACTGATGTACGATGTAGAGAAGCTTTTATGTCAGATCAGGTAATAGTTTGCTTTATGAGGGATGTACATTCTTGCAGATTGTAGTACTTGTACTACTGTTAATCAAGTTAGAGATAATGAACCATGGTATCTTCCCTTCGTTTCCGTTAGACACGAGAATTGGTCCACATTTTCTTTTCTTCCTGCTAGCTTCATCTAAGCTTTACGTATGATTTCTAGTTTCAAATTGTTTAGTCTTGCGGACCCACCTTTCTTCCTTGAACTATTCATCTCCTGAATTCTCACTTACGGTTAATGTGTTATCTATTGTTTATGGGTAAGTGCTCATATCTTGAACCATATCGTTGGCTAATTAATGAAAGTTGGTTTTATACGTTAAATTTGAGACCCCATCACTAAACCATCTCAGTTGCCTAACTTTTCTTCCTTTCCTGAAATAGCACATTTGCATATATTTTAGTTAGAAAGTTTGATCATTATTATAGCTGTCAGCTTTGCTGTCGTCGTATTTATGATCGTCTGGGTGCTGGTCCATCTACGCTGAGAAGGGTCTGCTGAAATTGAATGAATGGTTGGACCCAGACCCCAGAGTCTAGCTATTAGATGTATAGTTGTTTGTGTTTAAACCTACCATTCTTTACATGTTTGGTCCCATGGATCGATAACAAGTGGTCAACCTTGATAGATAAGCTTCAGTTGACTGTTTCTTATTAATGTACACTCTTTTATCTTCATCATGTTAAATGACCCTTTGATTCTGTGGAGTCCGAGATTATGTTTAATGCAGCGGTTATACTAATCTCTTTGCTGTGAAGTTTTTGTTTAGAATCAAATCTTTTCTAAATGGTTCAACCTAATTCTAGTCGACTATGGTGTATTACAATGTACATGGGGTCATGCTGGTGTAGTGATTGGCCTAAATCAACTTGAATGATCCACCTGGTTTTTTCTTAAGGACCCGAGTTCGCACCCAGCATCTTGAGACATGGTGTCCCACGTAGGGTTTTGAGTTGCACCTTTTGAGGGACATCGAAATTGTTGAGGGTTGGAAGTTAATAGTTAGTTGCACCTGCGGGCCAAACCTTTTAGGAGACTGCCTCCATGGTTTTATATCCACTTATCCATCATGATGGCAATTTTCATAAAAGCATTGGATGCTAGAAACAGCTCATTTTTTCAATGAGATGGGGATTATAATTGATGTGCAGCTATGCTGATCACCTTTATTTGATGTTTGTGTTGTTTTTGATCACATCGTGCAGATGACAGTATACACCAGTGGAGTTTCAGTTTTAATGCCCGGGGACGAGATTCCTACTTTCATCGCACACCCAGCCCCGATCCCCTGCCCCAATGAATGCCCTCCATTGCCTCAGCATCAACACTACACATCAGTCATTCCTAAATCAAACACCTCTGCTAACATTAATGCAACTTAGGGAAGAAAAATCAAATAGCATGTGCTACATCAAACAATGAGTGTGATTTATGATAACTGTCCAGAACCAGGTTTTCTATGAACAAGACTGTGAGTGCCTAGACCAGATTAGAGTTGTCGTTTTTCATTTTGGTCACAAGATCGTTATATTGTATATATAATTATAGGTAAGCTGACTGGTTTTGGCAACATTTAAATTGCCTTCCTGTCAATTTCCACTGTTTAAAGTTTGAATTACCCATCCATGGAACCTTTTACATGTAGAAAGTTTAGGTATATTATAGTGTTTTTGAACTTTCTGTTCCACAACACCATGTTACTCATAACTTTGGTGCTGGAAAACAAGATGCGATGAATGATGTTTCATTTAACAAGAATCTGGGCCTAAAAGACCGGGAAAATGAACTGAAGAAAACGCAATCTTCCAAGACCTAAAACTGATTGCAGCCGAAGATGACCCATACCAACCAGCAAAATTTAAGCCTAAGCAAAATAGTCCCTACTTTTTCATGTTACGAGATAATTTCTCTACTTTTTTGTATTGTCTCCAATATAGGATGTCCTCTACTTGAAAAACCAAATCTCCACTATCAATCTTTTGTAATGGAACAATAAAGCCAATTTGGTCGATTTTTTTTTTCAAACTTTTGAACTTTGGGTGCATTTTGTATTTGTTTGTTCTTATGAAAGAGACGAGTACAGAAAGGTAAAAGGAAACAGACAACATAACTGATCTATCTTCTTCAACCCCATTACGCCGCAGTGGAGAGAGACCAACATCATTTTCCATTAACGGATCGAAGTTAAACATAGGACCACTTCCTTCCGCTGTCTTTACTCACTCACCTGCAACGGCTAGATTCACATCCTCCAAAATTTTAATTTGCACCTTCGTAGTTCATTTTCATTTACTACATTCCCCGTTGTGTTTATACTGTGGAATTTAGAGATCGTTGAGTTATTAAAGCGGGTTAATTCTCTATGTACTTTCACTTTTGGTTGTACATTACTTTCCTCAATTTAATGTCTCTCATTATGTGTTACAAAAGGAACAATAAAAAGGTTGCATCTTAATACTGGCAATGGCAATATGGCAAGCCTCAAAATTGTTGGTTAATAGGTAGCTCCAGATCCCACTTTCAAAGGCGTAATTATGTGCCTCATTTATCTTATCAAATCATGATTAATGTCTAAAGATCAACTTTTACGCTTAAAAAGTGTCTAACCAAGAACACACCTTTAACCAAACCAACAACCACAGATTAAAAAAAGAAATAATGGTATATTCATTGTTTAAAGTTCTTACTTTTATTTTAATGTTAGGATTCAATCATGATTCAAGTCTGGAAATTTTGAATAAAGAAAGTGGGAAAAGGAACCAATAATTTTTGTACAAGATTTGAGTCATTGGTACAGTCTTTTGCAGAGATGCAAATCTTTTCCCATAACAGCAAAATTAAATTTAATTAAACGATAATCACAGTTCAATTAAGACATTCCATGTTCAACAAGCAAGCCCCAAATTTCCAAATGCAGCAGTGGCAAACAAGACAAGTAGTGGACAACGGCCTACCACTGCAACTCTGAGTTCTGGAATCCCACAAACTTATACAACAAAATCTTCACTTCCAGTTCACACTGAAATTTGACTTCAATGTTCAATCACTATTCACAAACTAAAACAACAAAAAAAGTAAATGATAGATCTTTTAACGTACATTTCTTCATCTCTAGAGAAAGATGAAACATTCAAGAGAAACAAGAGGATTTTCAAGTGATTCATTTGGAGTACTTGATGTGGCTCCATTATTATTGCTACTTGGCCATTTTCCATCCATGGTGGTTGTAGTAGTAGTGGTAGTACCTTGCTGCTGCTCCAATTTTTTGTCATTACCAGAGTCTCCCGAGTCAAGCCTGGCCCTACCAGGGGATTGATTAGTCCTTCCAGATGGGCTCCGACCCATTACAGATCTATTCATTGCTGGTGACCTTGACCTCCTCCCTGAACTCTCACCCGGATCCTTCCTTGGTGGTTCGGGTCTTGACCCACGTCTCACTGTAGGTTCCCTGCTCTGAACCAACCTCACTGATGATCCACCATTTATGACCCCATTTCTTCTCCCGGGTGATTGCTCAAGTTTCCGGGTCGGGGACCTACCTACGACCAGGTTCCTTGGCCCGGATCTTGCTGGAGATCTGAACACTCTTTGCGGCCTCACTTCTTCTTCTTCGTCTCTCCTGTCGGTTATAGTTGAAACGCTTTCACTTAAACTTACACTGCAAATCTCAGAAACATTTTCTGAAGCTGACTCTTCAACGGAATTGACAGGTGATTTCAGCTCATGCTTAATGTTAAAATTCAGGCTTTCCTTCCCTTGGATCTTGACAAAAGCAGGGTTTTCTATCAGGGTTTTTTCCTTCTCTTCTTCTTGTGGGATTAGGATGGGAGCTTTGGGCTTTGGAGTCTCTGACAAAACTTCCTTCACAGTTTCTTCTTCAGCGGAAGGCGGTGGAGCTCTGCTTTCAAGAATTGGTTTTTGGTTAAAAGAATCAAGACCCACCTCTAAATGTGCTTCTTTTTCACCACAAGAGCCTCTGTTAGTGCTTACACAGCAACCCATTTGAAGAAACGGAGGCTAGAGTTTGACTCAGAAACACGGTGACATTGTTGGGTTAAGCTAAAAAACAATGCTTTTTCCCTGAAGGTTAGGCATTTTCCGGCTTAAGAAATGAAGAAGACATGAAGAGACGGGGAGTATGGTAGTTAATGGGAACTGAATGCGAAGGTGTCGTAATAGAGACGAGAGAGTCAATGAAACGCATTTATTCCCTATGTCACGGGCTAGAAACTTGGGTCCGAGACATCGGTGTAAGCGTCCGACCAAGAGGTTCAATACTGAGAATCGGGCTTACCGTGACCACCAGACTTAGCCAATTCTTGGAGAATGCTTAACAAGTCCGTGAAGGATCTATTCCGAGGCGTCCGAGAGGAGCGACGAGGGCGATGGGGGCAGTGTTGTCGAGGCTCGTGGATTCGAACCGAGACATGTGAGCAGATATCTGTAAGAGAATTATACAGACTATTGGGCTTGCCCAGAACCATCAGATCTGGCCCATTCCTTGGAGGATTCTAGAAGGATAATGTTAGGTGGGATTTCCTTGATTTAAGGGATTGAGTTAGGTGGGAATCAATCCTAGCCCTTCATGTAAAACGATCTTAGCCATCGATTGAGAGGGAGCTCCCCTATAAATAGAGAGCTCTCCTCCTCATTTGTAATCACCCAATTCCATTCTTCTCTTTGTGAGAGAGTAATAAAGCTCTGAGGCATTTGCTCTATTCTTTCTGAGTTCTTTAGTTTCTTTGTTCTTGTTGCCTATCTCGGTGGCCAGGAGTAGCCACCTTCGTGTTAGCACTTCCACACGATAGTCCGACCTTGTCGGCATTCTAAAGCTTCCGCAATCCGAAGCCTTGAGGGCTTGGTTCCAACCTTTGTGAGTTTGCACACTCACTTAGCTTGGGTAAGGCTTACTTAGTCGCCGAGAAGACCGAGGAGCGTCTAAAGCGTCTAAGGCCGCACGACCCGTCAGACCTTGACTCTGATATTCCGACGGTGTGAGGCGTCGAAGTTCTGGGGGCGTGACAAGTGGTATCAGAGCGAGTCGTTGTGGGCAAGCAACGATCGTTTCAACCGTGTGTTGGTGGAAGGTGCGAGTCGGGTAAGTTTGTTTTACTTACTTTCAATCAATTTACTTTGATAATTGATATGGGGCACAAGAAAAGAGGAGTTTCCGCACGCAAAGGCAAGGAGTGCCATGGTGGGAAACGGGAAGAGAGTCCGTTGGGCTCGAGAGCATCGTCGGTGTCCAAGCATGAGGATGCCGTGATGAGTTCGCAAGGAATGCTTGAGGCAACGATAGCACACCAAGAGGAGCCGGTTCTCGAGGTAGAGAGGCTCAAGGGTGACGCCGAAGGCATGTCCGAGCGAGACACGTTCTCTCATGAAGACGAGGAGAGTCTTCACGAGGAACAAGAAGAACTGACGATCGACGAGAAGTGGGTTTATTGGATGGAAGTTATTGCTGACCATACCGAGAAGCTCATTAATCTAGAGCATATCTCAACTTCGTGGGAACAAAGGGTCGGTAGACTTGAACAAGCCGAGGATGAGGCCAAGCAGACCCAAGGTGTTGTGGAATCCCGCCTTGATCGATTAGAGTCCATGGAGGGCAGATTCAAGGTCGAGACGCAACGAGTTCTTGACGAGTTGGAGATGGTTCGAGGGAGAAATGCCCAAGAAGCCGAGGTAGCGGCTTTGAGAAGCGAGGCGGATGAGCCCAGGATCGAGTTGTCCAAAGAAGAAGACGAACCAAGGATCGAGGGGGCGTTGCGACTTGGCTCAATACGGTTCATTTCTACCAAAGCAAGTAGAGGCCAAGGGCAGACTGAGTTGACCATGTCCAAGGAGTCGAGACAAGGGCTTACCGAGGATGTTCAAGAGAGGAACAATCCTTCAAAGACTCGTAGACAAGAGTCGAAGGAGGCCAAGACGTTGAGGGACAAGGCAACCGTGGAGACACCACCCATTTCAAAGGTGGGAAGCGAGCTTCACCCTTCGTGTTAGAAGGGAGGATGCGAGGAAGGGCATCGGACTTTGCCGCGAGAAAGTTCCGATGCAGGATGGCGCAAAGAACTCCAATGACAAGGGTTCAATGCGGGGAGTGTCAGACTTCATTGAGCAAGAAGGGCTGACGCAAAAATTTGAGCAAATGCCAACTAAATCAGAGGGGAAGGTACATCTCAACACTATTCTTGTGTTTTTGTGAGCTTGATTTGCAATTTCAAGTGAGTGTAGGTCGGGCAAGACCTAACTCTTAACGCGGATGGAACAAAGTTTGGATGGGATCCAAGACTTTGCCGCAAGGGACAAGGAGGTCCAAGTCGAGGCAAATCAAGACTTGTAGGAAGGAGTTCCTACGGAAGAGATGCACTTGTGGGCGTGTTAGCCCGTTTCATCACTTGGCGGCAAGAGCCGATGCGAGCACAGCCATTATGGGAGGCTAAGTCCTTATGGGGGGACATGAGCAAGCGAAGGCGTCGAAAGGCAACCAAGTTGATGTGAAGTATGGCGCGAAAGATCGGGAAGTTACAAGCCAAGGCAAGCAGTTCGTATGGGAGAACCGCGACAAGCCAAGGCCCTGAAGAGTTTCCAAGATGGTGTTGCCCAGGATCGTCGAGTGCAGCGACGAGGGCGTCGCTAGGTTCGGTGGGGGAGAATGTCACGGGCTAGAAACTTGGGTCCGAGACATCGGTGTAAGCGTCCGACCAAGAGGTTCAATACTGAGAATCGGGCTTACCGTGACCACCAGACTTAGCCAATTCTTGGAGAATGCTTAACAAGTCCGTGAAGGATCTATTCCGAGGCGTCCGAGAGGAGCGACGAGGGCGATGGGGGCAGTGTTGTCGAGGCTCGTGGATTCGAACCGAGACATGTGAGCAGATATCTGTAAGAGAATTATACAGACTATTGGGCTTGCCCAGAACCATCAGATCTGGCCCATTCCTTGGAGGATTCTAGAAGGATAATGTTAGGTGGGATTTCCTTGATTTAAGGGATTGAGTTAGGTGGGAATCAATCCTAGCCCTTCATGTAAAACGATCTTAGCCATCGATTGAGAGGGAGCTCCCCTATAAATAGAGAGCTCTCCTCCTCATTTGTAATCACCCAATTCCATTCTTCTCTTTGTGAGAGAGTAATAAAGCTCTGAGGCATTTGCTCTATTCTTTCTGAGTTCTTTAGTTTCTTTGTTCTTGTTGCCTATCTCGGTGGCCAGGAGTAGCCACCTTCGTGTTAGCACTTCCACACGATAGTCCGACCTTGTCGGCATTCTAAAGCTTCCGCAATCCGAAGCCTTGAGGGCTTGGTTCCAACCTTTGTGAGTTTGCACACTCACTTAGCTTGGGTAAGGCTTACTTAGTCGCCGAGAAGACCGAGGAGCGTCTAAAGCGTCTAAGGCCGCACGACCCGTCAGACCTTGACTCTGATATTCCGACGGTGTGAGGCGTCGAAGTTCTGGGGGCGTGACACCTAACATCACCTCGTCAGTTCGACTTCGGTAAGCTAAATTGTTGCCATTTCTATTCATGCCCGTCAGATTTTTGTTATTTCTCGTTCAAGTCCCTTTTCTTCTTTTTTTGTTGCTTTTAACTAGAGGTGGATATATGGGCGCCTATGGATTACCCGTTTAACCAGTAATCTGTGATGATTTTGGACATAAAAAATTGAAGTTCATTTAAATTACAGGTTTTTAAGTCTGAACCGTTAAATTCGTGGGTTTAATGGGTATAACCGTTGGTAAACTGCGAAGCTCGCAATAACCTGCTTAATTTAAAATTTATAAAATTTTAGAGAAAATAAACTTAAAGAATTTTATAGAAAAAAAATAAATTACCTATAAATATGATGTTATTTATAACATTTGTAGTTCTTAAATTTATTAAATTTATTAGGGTATTTGTCTTTGGTATTTAAAGATTTATATAGTATTTTAGTCTTATAAAATTTACATCATTTTAAAAATTTAAAGATTTATATAGTATTTCATTTACAATGTATCAAATTATTCTTCATTTAAAAAAATAAAAATTAAAATATTTATATAGTATTTTAGTCTTATAAAACTTATATCATTATCACTTTGGTATTTAAATATTTTTTATTTAATTTTGACCTTTATTTTTTTGATGAAGTATGTTATACATTTCATTCTTTAATTATAAAAAGTTACTTGATATTCTAATAATATATCACATGACACGTAATTATTGAATTAAAAATAAGAAAGTAAAATAAAAAATTAAAAACATACTTTTCAACTTTTAAATGCTTTTACAAAAGAAAATTTGTTAGATTTGTATAATGTTTAACTTTATTAAATTTTTTTGTTTGAATTTATGCTTGCAAACATTCTTGTGCCTTCATATTATAGCATTGAATAATCGTGTTTTATAAAAGTATAATGTGGTTATTGTTTTATTTATTTTTCAATTTGGTGGTATAAGTAAATATTATTTTTTAATTTGAGTTTAAGTAATTATATCGTTATATATATATATATATATATATATCAATGATTAAAAAAATTATTTTATAATCATTTCCGGCTATTTAAAATAAAATTTAAATATTATTTATTTTTTGGCGGTGCTACCCTTTTTTTCAAGTTACTGGATCATTTTTAAAGGTGTAGCAAGTTAGAACATTATTTTTTATTGTATTTAAAGCATTTAAAATTATTTTTATTTAACGGGCCTCGGGTAAACCCGTTTAACCCTCGAGTTAAATAGACGGGCCGCGAGCCTTAAAATTCAAAACCGTTTATGATCGCAGAATTTTTAAACCGCACGGTCAAAACCCGCATACTAAACAGACGGGTAGCCCGTATACCCACCTCTACTTTTAACAGTCGTACTCGACTACTCAGTCTCGTGATTTGCGCAAATATATTTTATTTAGCGATCGGCGCATGTGGAGGGGATTTTTGTATGTTTACAACCGTCGATGCATGTGATTTTAGTGCGGCCTTTCGATGTATGCCGTCAAATCTAAATCAGAATGTGGGGTAGTATAAACAGGAAGATCTAACGGTGAAGAATGGTTTCATTGTTTGAGGTTGACCATCTGATCTACACTTCTCACGGATTTACATGAACATGATCTTATATAGTTTGCTATCCGTAGACTAATTATAAATAGTTGGGAGATTAGTTTTCAATTTGAAGAACAATAGAATATTACATTTTAAGACATTTTCCGCTTGGATCAATTTGTACTCGTAATAAATAATGTTTTGATGGAGGGTTTTAGCCTTTAAGGTATCTAGACTAATAAATTTGATGGATCCAGCAATTGCATACACTTCTATTCAATAGTTAGATTGTGTGATAATAATACTAATAGTAATATCACACAAGGTAACATGACAAACACATGCTTACAAAGGGAGCCCTCTCTTTATGAGCAGTGAGCACATGGTGAAAGTGCCCACGTATATGTCGACAGTCGATGCGAGAGCCGACAGGTAAGCAGGAATAGTTAGACAGTAGTCATGAATTCTGTGTTAGAATTAATACCGGAATACATGTTTTGATTCACCTTCTATTAAGTTTTTTTTTATAATATCATAAGATTAAATGAATTAAAACGAACAATATCCTTCTAAATTCATGTGAAGTTTTAACACAAGGTAACAAAGCAACCAATGGAATGATTTTGAGTGTCAAGTAAAAACGTAAATGCATTTATGCAGTAGTTGCAGGTAGCAGGGGTGGTAACTGGTAAGTAAAAACAATAAATACGACATCACATTATTGGGACATAACCTTTCTCCCATTCGACTGAAAGATTTTGAGCGTTGAATGAAGACAAGGGTTGTCAAGTGTCGACACGAAAAAGGGTTGTTATTTTGGTATTACAGTAGATACATTGTACTATTATGGATCTCTAGTGCAGTACATTCGTCATACCAATTGGAATGACATTTTTTTTCTAATCAGTCCAAAACACATTGAAAAAGAAAAAGGGAAAATCTTTACTAATTCGAGCATACATGTACTCAATTTGATCTGCAAGTCAAGCATCAGCTTTCGTCAGCTCGCCAACTCTCAACAATATCTCAACAAAGTTTTGCGATACTTATCTCATGGTAATAATAAATTTTTTAGAACTTTTTTTACTAAATGCAGCGGTACAATTTTTCCACCCAAGGGGAAATAAGTGAAGCTCTGGAAATAAGTGAAGCTCTGTAAAGATGACAGGGTAGTACTAGTGCTACAAGTGAGCATAAACCCCATATCTCAGTTGCAATACCCAAACAGCTTCAATGAGACAACTGCCTATTTCATATCGTATGACTGTACGAGCCCCGTAACCCAGAATTTCACATTTCTCCTGTTAAATAATCATACATATGAGGAAATCGCATTACCATTCTTTCATTCAGGGCCAGCACTGTTTGTAATATTTTGATAAAAAGGAAATGTACGTACGTTAAGCTTGCTCCCAAGATGAAGGCCAGGGAATAGGAAATATGATGATAAAAGACTACTTTTAATGTTCTGATTATTTTCCATTCATGCTTGGTCTTGGGCTTGAATATTATGGGTTTTTACTTACTAATTATTTGGGCTGCTCATAATATTTTCTCTATGTACTAATCTTAAGGTTGCTTAGGACACACTTTAGCGAAACCATTTTCCAAGACTGGGGATATTATCAATTGATCAATGTCATGTCATTCTGTTAATGATGCATTGCTTAGCTAATAGGAAAAAGGTTTTCATCTCGTGATATCCAAATGACCGATAAGGATCGGTGAATTGTTCAATGCATGAATGAAGATAAACATTGGTTAATGAATGAATTTTATTAACAATGGATTTCTTGGCTGATGGGCTCGTTGGGGCTTGCCAATCAAATGTACTATGGGCTATGGAGAAAACTTCGATAAATTCAACGATCGATTTCTTGGTTGCTTGCCACGTGTTAGAGACAAAACATCAAATTTTAGTTTAGGACAGTAAACGAGACAAATCCAGCTTGAGTGTATTTAAGGTCGACTCCACTAAAAAACTAACGAATTTGTTAAGCTCACTTCGAACTCAAAAGTAAAAATTGAAACTCGACTCGAAAGTTTGAAAATTCAAAATTTTCAAGCTTGATTCGAAAATTAAAAATTGAAGCTCGAGTCGAGCTAAAAAAACTTGAGCTCAAAACATTCTTAGACATAACTCGATTGAAGCTCAAACTCGAGCTCGGTTCAAACTATAACTTAGTTCAAACATAAATTTTAAGTACATGAAATCCTAATATTGTATTAAAAAATCAACATATAGTGGTTTTTCTTTCCTTTGTTATTTTAGCTTTTTCTTTTTAGTTTGTTTCTAAGCAGTTCGTTCGTTGGTGGTGGAGGCCTCAGTCTAGCGTTAGAGTTTGTTTCTGTCTTCGAAGGTGTCTCTTGACCATGTGTGTTGGTTCATTCCCTCGAGTCTTTTCTATTTGTAGAAGAGTTTCGGTGTTCGTCGTGTTTTATGTCCGTTCTTCATCTTATTGCTGGAAGTGAGAGTGTGGGCTGTTCCAAAGGTATTATCTCTCTTTTATCCCTCTGTTGTCCGGTGTTTGTTTTTGCCTTGTTGGGTGTTCTCTGGAGTTGCTTCTCGTTATGGTTCTTTGTCCGCTCCTGTGTTTTGGTGTTTTCGCATTGGGTGTTGCTTGATGGCTTTCCGACTAGTGGTGGAGAGGTGAATTTAGCTTTTTTCGATGATGTGTTGAGTCCTAGGTTGCAGGTGGTTTATGCTTCAGTTGCTGGGTGTGTTTTCCGGTCGTGGTAGTGAGGTGGTTGTCGATAAGTGTGGGAGTTGTTTCTTTTGGAAGTTCATCATTTTTGTGAAGATTCGTGATTTCATTACTGCATTTTATGTTGATGGCGGAGCGTAGCATGTAGTCGTCGATGGTATGACAACAACATCATTGTGGTTTGTGCAAATTTACTGGTCCCGAGGAATGAGGTATGGCATCCTGTAGCTTTTGGCGTTGGGCCAGAGGAATATTTTTCTATAGTGGTTTGTTGGCAGATTGTTTGGTAAGTGTGGTTCTTGGTGTTTTCATTTAGAGGGGCAGCATGTTAGGGGCATGGTTTTCAGAATCGGACCGGTTAGCGAACCGGCCATGCTACCGGTTCGCTGGTTCAACCGGTCGAACCGGTCTGACCAATCGGAAGAACCGGACGACGTCATAATTATTTAAAAAATTAAATAAAAATACCAAAAATATTTAATAAAAAATAATTTTTTATATCACAAGTCATATTCAAAGCAAATCATAACATATATAAGTTAAAAACCATAAAATCAAGTGAAACAAAATGATTCAAATTAACTACAACATAATATTTAAGGTAAAAACATATTAAATAATAAATATAATTATATAACTATAATTAAAAAATAAATTTGGGGCTAAAAAATCATAACAAAAATGATATTGTTTGGTTTAATTTAAAAAAAACAATCTCACATGGCTAAGAAACATAGAAGAGCATCCCAACTAACTTCTATAAATAATAGAAGTAATTTGGCATTCAAAATCATGGAGCCTTTTGGTGAGCATTGAGTGAACTATTCTTTCACTTCAATCAAGCTAGAATTTTAGGCTTCAATCGAGCTTCTAATTTTTTTTTTGAGTTCAAGCCCTTTCGATTTCAAGTTTCTATATTATATTTCAAGTTCGAGTTGAACTTGATAATTTTTAGCTCGTGAGTTTGAGACGAGTTGAACTTACTTTTAAAGTTTTCAAGTTCGAGTCGAGCTCAGCAATACTTGAGTTCGACTTGGCTCGTTTAACAAACAACGTCGTTTGGTTTAATTTTTTTTTAAAAAAAAATTGGCGGTTTTTTCCGGTTTTCAGTCGGTCTGGTTCAAACGGTTCAGCGGTTCCGGCCGGTTTACTAGTATCGGTTCAACCGGTGTAGATAATGGACTAGGCAGTGATTTCCGGTTGAACCGACCGGTCCGGTTTTCAAAACACTGGTTAGGGGAGTTAGTGGAGCTCGGCGTGGTTGGCGTTTGCAAGTGGTGGGCCTCGGCGTTATATATTGCATATGCCCATGTTGCCTTCTGCCTAAGGAGTGCTTTTGTTCCTATTGGTGACAACGAGTATGGGGCTAGTGGTTGGTGATGCACGTGGTGAGCTTCAAGCGTTTTTAGAGCAATGGGCGAGGTTTTTTATGTAATATCATGCATGGTGGATTGGCGCAATCCCGACAGTCCAACCTGTTTACGCGATTGGCTACAAGAGTTATGCATTTGTTTCGTGTTCTTTAAAAAGAAGAAGACCTTGAGTAGACGGTAGTTGAGGTATGCTGATAGTTGGGGTGTGGCTGTTCGTGGCTTTTCTATGAAGGAATTCGCTGCTGATCGGATGGAGATAGATAATTGAAGCGTGGGCAACGTTTTGCGTGGGCAGGGATCTGGGAGTTGCTTCTCGTTTTGGATGATAATGTGTTCATAGTGGGTGTCTTTTCTGCGTTAGTTAGAAGGTTCGTGTAAGGGTAGAGTTTTGATGTATTCGAGTGTTCGAGTTGTTTGTTGCCCCGTTTCTTTGTTGTTTGGTTGACGCTGATACGACTCGGTTCAAAGTTTTATATCATTTGATCGACACATGCTCAATGTCTTTTGTCGCGGAGGTTGTATCATGGTTTTGTTCGTTGTTTGGTTGTGTGTTGTTCCTCTTCGCATTTCGTTCAGGGGTAGTGTGTATCTATATTGTCGTGTTTGTTTCGGGCTGTTCTAATAGTGTAGTTCCCGGCTATGGTTCTTGTTGTTCCTGGGTTCTTAGTGAACCTTCTTCCAACCCAAGGTTTACTATTTTTTCTCTAATTAGGATTAGAGATGTTTTTTAATAAGATCATTGGGGTGGTGCATTTTGTTATTCCTAATACAAAGTAATTATTTTTCAAAAAAAATAAGCATATAAATGTTAATATTATTAATAATTTAATTTAAAAAAATAAAAATTTAATACATTATTTTTTCGAGTTGCTAGTAAGATTTTCGAGTGAAGTATTAAATAACTTATTTCGGTTCGTTAAAAACTTGAATCGAGTTCGTGCTTAAATCAAATCCATTTGATTTGAATAATAACTGAGCTTTAACCGAATTGAACTCGAATAGCTTATAAAACATCTCATCTCATTTACAGACATAAGTCAAAATCTGACCCCTGACTTTTTTTTTTTCTTTCATTTTTTCAAAGCTGTTAACATGTTTTAGGTGACTTGCAAACCTAATTCTTGACAAACTTTAACTAGAACCGCTCTTTACTTTCCCCATCTACATCAGACAAAAACCAGACATTACAAAGTAGACTTTGTTCAATGAATGTCTCTTTCACTCAATTATTGTTATTTTGGAAATTAATCTAATAAAAAAAGTCAACTGCCCATCCCTGTTCTTTATTTTCTGTTCTTTTTGTGATGAATAAACCTACCACTAGTTGACATTGTATCTAATATAATATTTTTTGTTATTATCATGAAAAATATATACTAATCATTCATTAGAAAATCCGTTCAACTAAAATATGGTGTTCGTAATTGTGGGGGGGGGGGGCAGACTAAGGCCAATTCTGGTATATTTAATCAACTAATCCCACTCTCAAACGCCACGACTCGGAGTTATAAAAAAAAATCCTAGTAAAAACTTATTGTTTTGTATTTTGTAACTAAAAGAAATCATCATTATTTTAAGTAACCCTAATTGATTGTAAAGATTTAAGAGATCAGAGTTCCTCTGTCTTATTATCATCTGCTTTTGTTCCCGGCAAAGATGAAAAATATATTCTCTTTTACATTAAAAATTATTTTGTTTTCTAAAAGATGAGATTTTTTTAAGTTAACTATATATCATAATCTTATTTCCTTTTCTTCTTCTTCTTTTAAACAGAAATGTTTCATATTTAATAGAGAATTGAAAATGGTGTTCTTTTTATTTCTTTAATTTGGACTCTCTTTCCCTACCGATCACATTTTTAGAGGTAAATTTTAAAGTGATTCTTTCCAATTTTATTTTAATTTCAAAATAAGGATGTAAGAAATTACATCATAGTTCGGCAAAATTTTCGAGATAATGTTCTCGAAAATTTTATTTAACGATATAACGTACTCCCAAGATTAATTGCTCAAATAGAGTGAATTGCACCGTGTTGGCCGTAGGTCGCCATGCCTTCCGGGCGACCTACGGCGTGGCAGCTTCCCAGCATAGGTCGCCTTTCTCATATATTTTTCAACCTCTTTCTTTGTTTGTAAAAGTCCAGATCGTCTTTCTCCTATAATTTCACTCACTCGTAATATATGTAAAGGCGAATGACGCATCGTTATAAGCATATGGTAAAACGCTAAAACACAAGATGGTTGGTTTATCCACTCAACATAGGAAAAATAAACATATAATTAATTAAGGAGTTGATAACCCCGCTTGAGCTGTCTGTTTCTCCCCGAGATTATCAGCCAAAAACAGAGACATTAGTAAACTGGATTGAAGTTATTTTGCCTCGTTGGCTAACAGTTTCGCTCTTCAACAGTTGTTTTGCTCCATTCAGTAATTTAAAGAGAGAAAATTAAAATATATATCCATTCAGTATTGGGCAGCTGTCGCAGGGGGGGAGACGTCGGGAATCCGGGGCTCGACAACTCATATAAACCCCGGACCAGAAACCCCTTCCCCATGCAAACGCAAAAAAGCAAAATCTTTCCTCCAAATCATTTGCCTTTTTAAAACGTGGCGTTGCGTCCTCTTGTTTCGGTTTTCTTTTAAAGACCTTTTCTCTCTGTTGATTTTTGCTGGTTCAATCATTCAATTTGGTTTTGTTGAATCAGCCGACCCAAAATTACCCAAGGCAAGAAAAGCTTTACTCTTCTGTCTAGCTTCATCACCGATCAATCGATTCCGCCTCCTGTTGGTCTTCAAGGTCCTTCATTTTATGTTTCTCTTTTAGTTTTTATTTTCAGGCAGTAGTGGTTCTATTAAGATCTGGTTTTCAAGAGATTCATGTGTTGCTTATACATGTTCACTCTTTTTTTTAATAATAATAATAATACTAATGGATATTTTATCAGTTTAAAGGTCAAGCCTTGTCAAAATTTCTTTGAATTGAAGAATTCTGGGGCGTTCAAGCTTACAGAGGTTGTTAGCTTTCATTACTTTTCGATTTCTTATTTCCACTTCAATCTAAAAACCGAACCTTTTCTCTTTACAGTGATTATTCTTTCATTTCATTTTCTTCTCTTCTCTTTGTTTTTGAATTTCCAATTAGTTGCGTAAAATAGTAATAACTGCATTCTTAGATCTAACAAAATCTCGATTTTGTCTCTTGTTGGCTGCAAATTTCTATATTTTTCCTATTGTTCAAATTACCATTTAATCTCAGGGGTCATTTTCCTTTTTTTGAATGATTTTTTCCCTTCTTCTAACGGTGACGACTTGGGATTCTGTTGTAGAATTTAGATAGTTAGAATGGCAATGTGAAGCCTTTTTTGTTCTCTTCTTTTGAGATTTCTGCCGTTACATGCAGCATGCACATGCTTCAGCTCATTAAAACACGTTCTCAAATTTCCAGATTTAATGGCATCACGTATTTCGTATCTTTGTTTCTCCGGTTTTGATTTAGTCTATCTTAATTGTGACATTTACTTTTAAAAGTTGTTGATGTAGCTTTTTTTGTTTACTTCAATGCAATTTCCTGCAGTTTTCTATGAGTGTAACATAGAAGCTTTGTTTGTCTATGAGGACAGTTATTCCGACTGATAAGAGAAGAAATGCTTCATCTGACGGGGTATGCTCGTTCTTTTCAAGTTTGAAGGGATTTAAAATTGAAGTTTTAGTATAATTTTATCTTTCAAAGCTTGTAAATGTCTGATATTGTTGCAGGGAAACGTCGGATTTAAAATGAGGCAGCTTCCATTTATGGGAGTTATTTTTACAGTTATGATGTACATTGTATACAGAACCACAAATTATCAATACTACGAGACAGAGGTATAAAACTCTCCTTGTTCTTTGTTTTAATGTAAGGAGATAAAGGCAATTTCCTTTTCCTGGCCTTTATAGTGGTAAATCTGGGTTCTTTTCATTAACTGTTACTGTTAACCCACTAAATTCATGTTGGCATTGTTATTGTAATAAGGTGTCTGGTTATTCCGAGAAGAAAAAATTTAACCTTGTGAAGCTTGCTAAAGCTATATTCTGATATTTTATAAATGCTTCTCTTATTGTCAGATGGAAACCAAATTGCACCCTTTTGAAACAGTAGAGGTAAGTATGTTAATACTGGCATATGTCATGCCGAGTCTGTGTATAGTTCCTTTTTATCACCGAGCTTGTAGAAATTGAAATTTTTGCCTTGGTTTTTCTTTGGACTATGTTTTTGTATAAGTTAATTCATAGTTCATTAGGTTCTCACATTTGCACTGTTTCAATCCATTTCCTTCAATGTCATCTAAGGTGCATATCATGTTTGTGGCTAGGATAATGATTTGCCTTCTGTGAAATTAAGAGATTTGCCTCGTGGCATTATGCAACCTCGTTCGGATTTGGAACTAAAGCCTCCATGGTCAAAGAGTTCACGGTCAAAGGTGAGATTCGAATATTCTTGTGTGCTAGCATGAACTTAATGCGAAGATATGAATATAGACACTTCCTTTTTTTGTTTTTGTTTTTCCTTTGTTTTTTTCTTTCAATGGATACAGCAATGAAGATCGCCATCTTCTGAAAATTTTGTTATTGTTGCAAAAAATGAGTTCGTTTACAATATTTCATGCCATTGGGTGGCTATCCAATTGCAGGTTAATGTTACCACAGATAAGAACTTGCTGGCAATGCCAGTTGGCATTAAACAAAAAGAAAATGTTGATAGTGTTGTGCGAAAGGTATTGCATCTTGTCCTGTTGACTTTCAAAATTGATGAACTGCATAATATTTGCCTAATTTTGTTAAATTCAGTTTCGTGCAGTGAATTTTACCATTATTTTATTCCATTATGACGGCAAAGTGGATGGATGGTGGGATCTTGATTGGTCTGACAAAGCCATTCACATACTGGCTCATAACCAAACGAAGTGGTAAGACCTACTGTTGGTGAAAGGATTTCTTTTGTCCTATGTCTTGTGAAACTTCTTGGTGGGTATGTATGCTCATAGTAAAATTGGAGTTTATCAAACTGCACATATTGTCGGTTTGTTGCTAAAGCAGTTTCTAACGAGGCTTGAGTCATTTTGAGTTGTAGTCTGGTTTAGGACTTGCTGTATCAAGTAAGGCCTTGTATCAGTTCTACAATTCATTTATTTGTATTGTTGTGTATACGGTTTTTGCTGCTGTCATGTGCACATGTAACATTATGAACTAATATGTGCTTCTCTAAGAGTTTGGTATAAATTGGGTCATGGACTTTGGACTGCTCGAAAAATATGAAGCAATGGCTTAGATGAATCTTATTGATTGGTTTGTTGTATCCATACTCTGTCTACTGGAATTTCATGACAAGCTTAGTGATCTCTTCCCTCTTTCAGGTGGTTTGCGAAGCGTTTTCTACATCCAGATATTGTGTCAATTTATGACTACATATTTCTTTGGGATGAAGATTTGGGGGTGGAGCATTTCAATCCAAGAAGGTAAATGGCTTTTATGACATTTCAGTCACCTGCAATATCTTGATGTTTTCTTGCCTTAACATAATCTTATGAGTTATTCAGTAATAATATAATTTTCTGTTCAGTTTTCTCGACATTTAGTTCAATCTTTCTCTTTGTTACTACTATTTCTGCTTTGTGAGGCTTTTGGGGGAATATCCAAACATTTTGATTAAATAGGTGGTCCTCTTTCTCCAGGTACCTAGATATCGTGAAGTCGGAAGGCTTAGAGATTTCTCAGCCAGCTTTAGACCCAAACTCAACGGAAATACACCACAGAATTACTATCCGTGCTAGAATGAAGAAGTTTCATAGGTGAATGAGATGGTCTATGGCAATTCGTAAAAAGTTTACAGATTATTATGATACTTACACGAAATATTTTTGGCAAACACAGGAGAGTCTATGAACTCAGAGGTAAAACGAGGTGTTCAAATATAAGCGAGGGACCACCATGCTCTGGGTGAGTTATTTTATCATCACATTGCTTGGTAGCATGATATAATGTTTTAAAGCAATTTAATGACTATAATTGCATCTGTCAAAATGTTTGAAAAAGCAACCTAAAGTTCCTTTCCTATCTTGATAACTTCTAAAAATGATCCTAAGAGGATTTTCCCCCACTCACATCTTTCATACTCCATCGGAGATCCTCTGTTGAAAAGCTGGTAAAGCAATCTGACTATCCGACAGCTAAGACTGACGATAAGCAGATTGATTAAAAGCTTTAAGAAAATAAAATTTCATGATCTGGTTAGTCGTGCTGATCTTAATCATCCATATTACATTTGTAGATTTGTGGAGGGAATGGCTCCGGTGTTCTCCAGAGCTGCCTGGTATTGTGCATGGCATCTCATACAGGTAACCTTGCACATTTTCCTTGTCTACATATAATTTTAATGATAGCTGCACTTTTTCCTACCCTTTTCTATCAATTTGTAGCATACACATTTATCACTACACAGTTTTCTCATTCTCATTTTGTTTTGCTGTTGATCTCTAAACCCTTTCTCTTTCTTTCAGAATGATCTTGTTCATGGATGGGGAATGGATATGAAACTTGGGTATTGTGCACAGGTAAGATTTCATTCTTTATAGTTCATATCCTTTTCATTCTAGTAGCCATATATTTCAGCATATTTCTACAAAACATTTTGTTCATTATGGATGCATATGCTATTATTCAGGGTGATCGCACGAAGAATGTGGGGGTGGTTGATAGTGAGTACATTGTTCATAAGGGCATACAAACTTTGGGTGGGACAGGAGAGCTCTCATTGAGGAAATCCAAAAAGGTTTCTGCTTTGCCTTCTTATATTTTCTGTACTTTTTGGGTGAATTGTGCTTAACATTTGACAAGAAAAAAAATAGCATATCTTTCATATTAATTTATTTATGTTCTTCACGAGGCTAATGGTTATGATTAACAAGCAGAGCGAATATACTCCTTTAAAGGAGTAAAGGAGTCATTTCTTAACATCTCTAGATATTATAATTAACTCAGTCTCTTAATTGTTTTTCCTGCTCATGTGCAGATACGTAAGGTTAGGAGTCGGACTTCAACTTTCGATTCACGAGCTGAGGTGAGATCCATAGTTCCTGAATTCACTTTTATCCTTTATCAGTAGACATTCCCTTGATTAGATAAGCAATTTATGTGATTATGGATATATTGTTTTTAGTTCCTCTGGCAAACAAAAACTCTTTTACACTTGCTCAGTTCGCAATTGATAAGTGTCTCTAGGCAACACCCCTTGATGGCCATATGCATATTATAATTCTCCATAGTTTAATGGTTATCTGGCACTCGATAATATGGCCGTATAGCCGGAGTTGTTACCTGGCTTCTTCAGATGAATGAGTTCACCAAAGAAATGTCGAAACCATTTGTGAACAGAGAAATACATTCTGTTGCAGATTCGCAGGCAATCAACATGGGAACTTAAAGTCTTTAAAGAGCGATGGAATCAAGCCGTGCAACAAGACAAGTATTGGATCGATCCGTTTCCGAGACAACAAAAGCGAAGAAATAAACGTGAAAGCAAAGTTTTTGACATTTACGACTAATCAAAGCCGATCGTGGTTGCCCTCATTCACCGTCACAGATACAATAGTCTAATCTCAACATCATCACCCATGTATTTTAGCTTTCCTCTTGCATTCTCATATGATTATTTCATTATTTTTGAACACATGCTTTGAGCTTTGTCTATATAATACATAATCCAGGCTTATTTTTGGAATTTATTCTAGGATATAATTGAAAACTATAATTAGTTACCATATTTCTCATGGAAAAGATTGATGTATTTTACTGGTGTTAACAACTGAGATCCCATTAGTTTTAAGGTAATGAGAATGCAAACAAGTCAATTCCTTTTAACTTCCATATTTAATACGAATATTTATGAAAAGGCAAACTCATTAAGGGGTCCATATTCTAACAGCCTGAGCATCGGCGTGGACAGTGATGTTATTCTAGAGACACGACAATATGCGGACATCAACCTTACCTATCTACTATTATGCTGTTTTCTTTTATAATCTATGTTTTTATTACTCAATTTTTATATTAAAACTTAAAAGATAATTTAAATTGTTTCTTTATTTTTTTATCATTGGAGCATTAAATCAGAAACAATAAGGAGATGCTAATAAGATGTGATATATTTTTCTTATTAACGTGGATTGTTTTTTGCTTACGAAGAAATGATTTTTTTTCTATTTTTTATTTTTTCATTTCACCATTTTATTAGTAAATTTAAAATTGTTATAAAATTTATCTTCATCTCACGCTATCATTGACATCGTCATTCTTTGACCATTTTAATAATCGATCATTGACATAGTCATTCTATCAATTTAAATATTTTTAAGTTTACAAAGTTTCAACTAAAAATTGAAAGAAAACAACTTGATCTATGAGTTCTCTTATCTTATCATCGTAGAATCATGATATATTATTCATCTTCTTCTTCTCCATCATCTTATTGTTGCAATTTGAAAGAAGATTTGAGGTCTTTTTATAAGTACTTTTATAAACTAAAAATAGTTTTGAAGTCTTTTTTTTATAATTTTTAAAAGATAAATGTTCGATTATAATATTCTTAAATAATTAATGACGTAATGATAAAAATAAATAATATTAATGTTAAGTGGTTACATTAATTTTTAAAAGAATTAATAACCAAAACAAAAATATGATCAAAGTAGAATCATAAAAATAACTAATCCAACTATCTACTACTAATGTCATTAATACTATTTTAATTTTAATTAATTAACTAATTAATTTTGTTTTTTCCAACTTCACGAATCTCATGATCTATCCTCTCCATTTCTTTTTCAATATTTCAGTCAACGACCCCACTATGTTCAAAGCTTTCTTACTCCTAGTATTGTAATATTTGTTGCTATAACAAATGTCTAGAAATCAATTAAGAAATTGTTTAATTGTTATGCCATGAATCTTTAATTATTTTAAAAATAATACATTAATTATGTTATTTTACAAATATCATTTTAAGTTAGTGTTATTAGACTAACATTTCTTGTCTTTGTTGGTTTGCAGTGCAATCTAATAATTAAAAACAGCATTGTATTCTTCTTCATTCTTCAATGACAATTAGCCTGTTTTATTCAACATACAAAATTTTAGTTATATGTCTAAATAAATCTATCTTTTAAATATTATTATCATATAAGATACCAACTAATTATTCTACTTATTTTCCCGCATTTATTTATTTAATGGCGAAGTTCTACAAATTTGTACAAGCTGATTGTTAAGGCAAAGTCGAAAAGTTCAACTTCCTCTTCAACAGCAAAAGTAGGTTTCTCTCTACAGAATTCACCTCCCTTTGGCAAAACAGCCAAATAATTTGTTCAAAAAAAATCATAACCTAATTGTTTCAATTCGCTTTTTCAAAAGACATATTTTTTAATCGTAGCTCAATCTTCCTCATAATATCTATATTATATGTATTCTTTTGCTCTAAAAGCAAGTTTTTGCAGATAAAAACCTTACGCCGATGGCTGGTCGTTACGATAAAAATCCTTTCGACGAAGAAGAAGAAGAAGTTAATCCTTTCGCTGTCAGTATTTTTTTTATTTGGTGATGTTTGAATGAGTGTTGAATTTTGAAGTTCAATTGTGGCAGCGCTGTTTGGTTTTTTGTTGTAGATTTTTTTTTTTACAAAAAAGATTAGGGCTTTTCTTAAAGGTCTAGTGGTAGACTATTTGTTGACTTATATATTTTCTGGAGATTTTGGCTTTCATCTGAAATTTTGGTTGAATTCGGTTCTTGAAAAACTTTTACTTGGTTGTTGCAGTTTACATGACCATTGAAGTAACTTCGTGTTTATTTTTTATGAATACCAGTTAATACAGTAAGAAGTTCATTTAAGCTTGTTCAATTACTGAATTTATCATCAAATTGTTAAAAAGAAGGAAAAAAACCATTTTCCCGGTGCTAAAGATCATTTTGTACTATTATATGATTAATTCTGAGAAAAGTGATACCAATAACGTTTTGTTCATGTTTTATTTAATCATATATCTATGCTACTCAGAGAGGAAATATTTCTTTTCTTTAGCATCAACTCTCTCGCTAATCTAGTTGTGATGTTAGTATCTTTTAATCCATATATTCTGTACATTCCTGCTATAAGCAGAAGGGGAATTCTTATGGTTTTCATTTTTTGCACTTAGATAAACCTTTGTCCATGAAATGGAGATTATGTCAAATTACCATACTTTATAACTCAATTTATCTGTCAATAGTTTGTGTGTAGATGCTAACCAGCTTCTAGTTTAATATGATTCATTTTTTTAATAATTTCTACCAGGATACAGCAGCGAAAGGGAAGGCACCTGGCCAGTCTAAATTTGGCGGAGGTCTATTTTCATCGGTAAACTGAATGCTTGTTATAAAGTTTCAAGTGAACATTTAATTTAAAACTTATTGTTGCAGTGAGAATGAGTGCAGTTATAGTACATATGTCTCATTAGGTAACGGGTGAAAGGTGTGGAATTTTTCATATGGCTTTGGTTGTTTTCATCCTTTGGTTTCTGTGGAAACTAGACAGTGCCTATGTTTTGGAAGGCTAGGCTGTTTCTCTTAGATGTAGATACCAATTCAATGTAAAACCATAGCTTGAGGTGATACTTGCTAAACTACCCTTGTAAATCCCTGGGATGCTGAAATTCCATGTCTATTAGTGAATGTAAAATTGGTAGTTATAACCTTGGGCCTGAATTCTCAATATATACTGATAGGTTTAAGAGTGAACTTTCATTTGACTAAGGTTTAGGATGATTTAATCCTGAAAATATAGGCTTCTTGCAATATTTTTTGTGATTTGGTCATCTCTAGCATTGTTTTTTAATGTTGCTTCTGAATAACTATATGCTGGAATAGTTGCTTATATTACTTGCTTCTTGAATGCATATTGTCAATAAATTTTCAGCGTACTCCGAGTGTTCCACCTGCCTCACTTTCACCGCTACCTCCAGAACCCGCCGGTTTCAGTTATGACCGAGAGCCAACAATTGATATTCCTCTTGATACAGCTTCACGAGGATCACGTAATCAGGTTGGTAGAGATATGTCTCTAAATTTCATTTATATACTTCGATTAAGCCTTGAATCTCACTTTTCCTGCTTTACTGTTTAAATGTAGGATTTAAAGAAGAAAGAGAAGGAACTCCAGGCTAAGGAAGCTGAACTGAGAAGGCGTGAACAAGTATATTATACAATACATTTTTCAACTTCAAATTCATTTGTGTTCTACAAAATCATAGATTTACTTTTGTTCTCACAGTTCTCTTCCAAAGGCATATCAACATATTTAGAATCTTATGTAACGAAAGCTCAAATATATCTCAATAATCCCAGTATTATAAAATACTATTAAGTTATTTGGATGATAAGCCGAAAATTCTCATTCTTGCACGTTTATTTCACAAATAAATGGAATAATGTTACTGCTCTTTGGTAGCTCTTATATCATAGCATCCCTTCAGTTTTCACTAGTTAGCTTACTTCATGCAGGAAGTGAGGCGGAAAGAAGAAGCAGTGGCAAGAGGTACCTTTCATTTTCCTTTAGTTAACTAGTCACACTGATCATATTTGGTTTTGTTCTCAGCTTAAGTATTTGTCTAGATTATTCTTTTTGCAAAATATTTTAGCTGATTTTATTTCCTTTTATGGTCAAAACTACATTTCTATCATGAACTACAATTTGACTTCTCTGCTTTGCAGCTGGAATTGTTGTGGAAGAGAAAAATTGGCCACCATTTTTTCCAATCATTCATCATGATATTGCCAATGAAATTCCAATTCATCTACAAAGATTGCAGTATGTTGCATTTTCGACATTCTTAGGTATGTAAGATTTTTTGACGTTTTCACGGTACATCTAGGTATCATGCTTTATTTGTACCATGCTATATTACATCGGGTAATCATTTGTGCCACACTTTTATACTGTTGGCTCTTGGCTAGATTGCATTGGGTAATTATTTGTACCATGCTTTTATTTTGTTAACTCTTTAGTTGAAAATGGCTTTGTTTTAAAGCCAAGAGCTGGCAGACAATTGGGTGATTGATGGTGATTCTATGCAGGATTGGTTCTCTGTCTTCTATGGAACATCATAGCTGTTACTACAGCGTGGATCAAAGGGGAAGGTTAGTTTAGATGTATACTTCCATATATCTTGTTTTTCTTCTTAACATAACTTTGATTATGTATAGTTTTCCTTATTATTGTTTAGGTGCTAGGATCTGGTTGTTGTCGATCATTTACTTCGTAGCAGGAGTACCAGGAGCCTATGTATTGTGGTATCGCCCACTGTATCGTGCTTTTAGGTACTTAATATATTACATGTTTTTTATTAATATAGATTTCATTTTTTCATTCTCTTTTTTTCAATGTTGGCTTTGCTCCAATGCTAACTTCTATTGCTGGTTTCTTAGACCCAGCTTTTCATGATTTTTACACTTGCTTATCAGCCATTTAATTTGATATATTTTTTCTCACCTTATGATTATCATGCAGGAATGAGAGTGCTTTGAAGTTTGGATGGTTCTTCATGTTTTATTTGGTAATATCTCATGTACCGCCTGATAGATCTTTTATTCTGGAAATTATACACTGATCCTCGTATTCTATCTTTCCTGTTTATAGCTTCACATTGGCTTTTGCATCTTTGCCGCTGTAGCACCCCCGGTAGTTTTTAGAGGGAAATCACTCACGTAAGACCCCTAACTATTTTAGCTTATCTTTAGGAATCCATATATGGGTTATACTGATGGGACTTGCATCTATCTTATATTTGCAACTACATCTGAACATCAGAGTTGTCATAATGTGCTTATCCTCCAAAACCTATCATTTTCTTATTGTGGGATTCTTTTATTTCAAGTATGAGATAATGGATTGTCCCTTATGTTGGTGGAATGTAAATTCAATTTTTTCTGTCTATATCTTACAATCTTACTAATGGTCATTTTGTTTTTGGCCTCATACAGTGGAATCCTACCTGCAGTTGATCTTATTAGCCATGCTTTGGTCGGGGTAAGTATATGCTTAAACCTGAGAAAAAATTTATACCCACAATCAAGTTAGTTCATTAAAACAGTTGAACATTTTCTTAACCTATGCTTAACGTGTAGCATGGATTTATTATATGCGGATAATTGAGTGGGACATAGATGGGAACAAAGGAATGTTGCTTGTACTGCTGAAGGCTTGAGAACATTGTGATTGCAGTTGAAGTCCCATTTTTATGAAATTTCTTTTGTTTGTGTAGATCTTCTACTTCATTGGTTTCGGATTATTCTGTCTTGAATCAGTTGTAAGCATCTGGGTTATCCAGGTTTGTTCTGTTCCCAACATGATTCAACCCAATGTCCTCACCCACATGATGTATGGTATTTCTAACTTTGTTGGCTGTTGACGTTACAGCAAGTATACATGTATTTCCGTGGGAGCGGTAAAGCTGCTGAGCTGAAACGTGAAGCTGCAAGAGGTGTTATGAGGGCTGCCATCTAACAACATCCACAGACTTGGCAGCAATGAGATATCAGTAACCTCGTGTTGCTTCTGGTTATATGCACGCTTTGCCATTGAAGGATAGAATTGAGCTTGTTATATGTATATATCCTTGCTTTTGTTGCACATATCTTTGTAACTTGTTTTCCGATGCTATTTTCTGTAAAGTTTTTTAATCAAGTGTGGAGTATGATAAGCAGACACCTTGTATAAAAGATATTTTCATGTATGAACTGATAATATATAGTTTGGATAAAGTCCATTACAATTATGTACTATAACTAAAAACACATTTTAGTGTCTCTATTGTAAAAAGAATAATTTAATTCCTATATGTTTGAAAAAGTTAACATTTTAATATAAAACGCTGGAGTTATTGTTAGTTGATGTTAGGGCTCCACCTAATATGAAAAAACTGAAGGTAGACAATGATGGAGGTGGACCTGGTGATGTGAGTTTGGGGCAGGTTGGAAAATTTAGAGGTCATTGTCCACTTACCATCAAAATGAAAAGTGAAGTGGGTTCATAAGGAATCCAAGTCCCAGCACACCAAAACTGTATAGCTGGATGTTTCCCTCGGGACCAAAATTATTATTGCAACCATAAATAGCAAGAAATTAAGCTTCAAGCTTCAGATAAAGTCAAGAATGATTTTGTATTCTCTTTATTTTTACTTCTGAATCAACCTGAGTCTTTTACTCATGCAGAGAAAGAAGGAGATCAATGTAAATTGCTTTCTGAATTAAGAATGTTTTTTGTCTGCGACATCAAAAGCGACATTAAATCGAATAAGACTATGAGAGCGATAAAACTTTTCTTTTTCTTTTTTCAGAAAAAACAAACAAATTAATACTTATATATTTTCCATTACCCTCCTAACAGGTAGCCGTGCATGTCTTACAATCCATGGAGCAGCCACCAGCACCCGCACTGGCAGAGAAACCTGACCCTGACTTGTTAACAGAGCCATAGCACTTAGCAGGGCAGGTAAGCTTCTTCTTATAACAAGGGCCTGGCTCATCACAAACAATCGAATTAGCGCTGTCATCTGAGTCCTCTCCGATAGGACCTCCGGCCAAAGATCCAAAGTCATCTTCTGTAGGACCTCCGAACCAATTTAGGTCGTCATCTCCGGCAATGTCATCTTCCAACTCTTTTTCTGACTTTGTCGTACCTAACTCCTTGTCTCCACCATCACTGCCAAACTTAGTTCCTGGATCAATGAACGCGTCACCTGCATCGTTACTATCCCTGGATGATACGGCTGGTGCGAATGCGTCAGGCCTAGCTGCGGCACATAAATAAGCTGTAGTTAACAGAACAGCCAAGCCGAAGGTGTTTTTGAGGTTCATCTTTCAGTTGTTCTTCTCTTTTGGGGGTGGGGGGACTGGACTTTGAGGTGTCGTTTTTTTCTGAGTATGGAGAAGAGAGGAGAGGGTGTTATTCTGAAGGACTTTACTATTTTAATGGTTAAGTGGTGGGATGATTTATGGAGGGAAAAGAGAGAATTGGTGAGAGATGAGTGGAGGGTCTTCCATGAATTCAGTGACAAACATGGCTCATCTTAAAAGAAAAAAACTTGATGGTTTAATAATGGTCTTTGAAACAAGGATTTAGCCATTTGATTAGAACAACTTGGAACAATGTTAGTTTGAACCTAAAAAGGAGGAAATGATGCTGATGGAATGAGAAACGGTTACCAGTGCTTGAAAAATACCATTTTGCATGTTTATAGATGTTTAACATTACTGGTCAAAAAAATGTTTAACATTAACAACCCCGATAACAAAAGAATATGAACACGATAAATATGTTTTTAAAATAGATTATTGAATTTGGGACACCAATTTATCACATTAACAACACCAATAACAAAAGAATATGAATACGATAAATATGTAAAGCTTAACACCGATATGCCCACGCCCGCAGTGTCAACGTTCAAGAAACATGGGCTCTCTTTTATCGCATGCATTTTTCTTGCTGTGACCTTAACGCTTATACTTTTACACCGGTTTTGACTGCCTCTTCTGCTTTACCGGGCATGAAACATGGAAAGCAAGTGCATGGACTAATGATTGAAACAGGCGTGGACACTGGGATGATAGCCAAAACTGCAGTGATGGACATGTAATGAGGGGAAAATTGCTTCTTAGCGAGTTTACACAGAGGCATTCTGGAAATAGCAGTTAACCAGTAACGCCCTAAAGTAATATAAATCATGGTTCAACGTGCCTTTGTCTTTTTATCGATAAACAAAGGAGTCACTTTATGGTCAGTCGCTGGTTCACAATGTCAAATTTCATTGTTCAACGCATTTCGATTTTTTTTTTCAACGAAAAAAAAAGTGAGATTTTATTTGCCTATACGTTGAATCAATGACGTCTTACAAAGGAGATGACATCCGGCGTCAGCGGTTAATCAGTATCAACCAAATCCAATTCTCAATTATATAATACAAAAACAACACAAGTCTTGGTTCAATGCATCTTTTCTTTTCATCTCTGCTCAGCCACTCGCTTGGCTCACATATTTTGTCAGCCATGTTGTAATCAAAGGAATCACTTTCTAATCAGCCGCCGGTTCATCATGTCAAATTTCAACTTCAAGCATTTTCTTCATTCGATTCCCATTCACCAATATATTGCAGCCCTTTATCTAAACGAACTCTCCCTAGCCGCCTCTGCATAACATATAAAGCGACACTTTAGTGTCTTCTAATTAAAACTCAGTCAAAATCACTACTTTTCACTGCTTGCTTAACAATTGCAACGTTATATCAGTAAACACCGGAAGATATGGGTGGCACAAGGAGGGCAACGATCAACGGTGGGAGAAGTATTGGCCGTCGGATTCCCAGGAGAGGTCAAGTAAAGATAGCTATAGCGCTGGGTCGCACATTATTTTGCTTCTATCTTCTCTCGCAGCAGTAGCCGATGTGGCTCATCCTCTACGTGAACTAAAAACACCAGATTTTGGCAATCCAAACCCCAACTTCGATTTGTATACAAACTCCTTTTTTTAGTTATTTTCATGTATGCGCCTATATTGTAGTCTTCGTACATTGAAATGTTTTGATTATCAATGAAAGAACTTATTTAATAGCCGCTACGAATTAATAAAATCAGCTGCTTAATTACTAGAAAGAACTAGTAATTAAAGTAATCAACAAAGTAGCTGTTCAATTCCTCCACTTGACAGAGAAAAAGAAGAAGAAAGTTGCCTTTAACCAAACGATTCATTGAATAAATTAACTTCCACATTGCTTGAATCTTGAGATTAGATGGTGACTCCCCACCAACCCCAAAGAAAAAAATATTACACCTTTTTTTCCAGCCAACACAATCTGCCGTAACATTAAAGAAGATGATAAGGTTGAGGTGGGGCTCCAATTATAAAGCTTGTAGATGGAAGTGACTGACAGGGAGACAGAAGCCACCGTTGCGACTTCTGGATTTGGATGCATGCATCAACATTAATTTTGCTCCCCTCTCTTTTGGTTGATGGAAGAAAAGTGGATGCATTGATGCATCCCCAATGGAGCACGTGATTTTAATGCACACATGACATCAATAATTAACATGCTTAAAATCCTTACTTTCTCTTTGTTTTTAAGGGATTAGCATCTTTCGTGTCGCCCTGTCTGGATGACCAACTCATCTTTACTATCTAAAATTGAAAATTTCAAACCCCAAAAAGGAAAACAAAATTGAAATTTTCAACTGAAGAATTCAATGCTCATACTTCTTCACTCGATATCAGAGACGAAGCCGTAGGAGATGGAAAGAGTTAAATTATTTAGTTTTAAAGTTACTGAAGATATCTTAAATATTTAATTTAATTTTTTAAAATTAATAAATTAATTTTACAAATATTAAAATTAATTAAAAATTATTATTAAACACATTAAACAAAAAAATTGGAGTTATTAGATTCATCTTTACTGAAAAACAAAGTTTAAATTTGCTGAGGGAACTCATTCTAACTGTCTGCATATTAATATTTCAACTTAATCATCATCTTAGCATTGAAATATTCAACCATGCACATATGGCTGAATAGGTTACATACTTGACGTTCACTCAAAGAACTATTGTAAATCCTACAAAAATGATTTTTTTTGTCAAAGAAAATAAATAAATAAACTCCAGAACGTGATTGGGGGAATGTAGCAGACAGCAGCCAGTCCCTAAAGATGAAATAACGATATCGTCAAGTCATGGTCAAAACTGAGGACATGACTGTAATATTAGGCAAAAACAAAGGGCAATCATTTGTTTCACTCCTTATATATTGCAAGGGACAACGTGGGACGGCGAATCGCACAACTAGCTCAAGTTCCAAAATCCAAAGCATAAAAACTCTAATCCAAGTTCTGTTTCTTTTTCATTGTCTAATCTCTTAAACCTTTGGATCTTTGCAAAAGAACCTAAGAAGAAATGGCAGGTGTAAGGAGGGAAATGATCAACGGTGGGAAAATTTCACGGAGGATTGCCGGACGTCCGATCCCAAGGAGGGGTCAAGTAAAAGTTGCTATATTGCTGGGGATTGCCCATTCTGTTGCTTCTATTTTTTTCTCTAAGTAGTCGCAAGGTTGTTAAATTTCTCCCCAAAAAAGTTTAAAGAACCTAAGAAGAAATGGCAGGTGTAAGGAGGGAAATGATCAACGGTGGGAAAATTTCACGGAGGATTGCCGGACGTCCGATCCCAAGAAGGGGTCAAGTAAAAGTTGCAATATTGCTGGGGATTGCCTATTCTGTTGCTTCTATTTTTTCTCCAAGTAGTCGCAAGTTTGTTAAATTTCTCCCCAAAAAAGTTTAAAAGAAGTGGGAGGGTCCTAGGAATGATGTGAGCCTGCTTTTTTGTTGTTCATATCAGTTTTGTACAAAGCTTATATTAATAGCTTCCAGAAGTCAATGAATGAAATTTCGTTCTGGCTTTTCCTTATTAATTTCAGTTTTATCGTCTGATCGATTACCATTTCCCACTACCTAATCTTGATTCTTGATTGAAGAAGGTCGTTTTTCAAGTTTAAAAAGACAAATTAATATGAATCTTATGAAACTCTTCTCCATCTTCTTTCTTCTTTTATTTTGTTGTGGGATAATCCGAACAGAAATCAATCTCAAGTTGGTTTTTTTTGGGGAATTATTCGGTTCACAGAGGCGTAGCCAGGCCGGCCCCCCAGCTGGTAAAGTGAAAATACATAATTTGTGGAGTAATTTTTATCCTCCTGGAACATAAAAATTTCATTTTCTGCTGATCATTGACCATTGATACCTGTACCATGCTGGGTTTGACCAGGCCAAACACAGTGGGTCAAAACGGGGCCATTGGGTAGTGAGGTAGCAAATTTTCAACAGCTTCTGCAGCCTGGGGATATAAAAGAGCCCAATGAATTAGGCAGTGACTTCTTGCCAATGCTTATTTCTTCTTAGAAGCCGTTGAGTATTCATTAACAATCCTTTAAGATTTTAATTATGTTAACATTCAGAAACGGAATACAGACCATTTGGAAAGCTTGAATTTGGAACTTATATTGTGATTTCCAACAAGGGTTAACTTAGGTATATGGGAGATATACACAATCTGAAAACAGCAAATCATTCAGTCTAAGTTCGTTATTCCAGTCTTTGACGTATCACTATTTTAACAATCAAAGTGGAGATAAACCTAAAGTTCATCTTTTCTTGAAAGAGTTGACAAAGGGATATACTAGAGTGCCTCCAACTTCATTTACAAATGCACATCTTCATGCTCGAGCAATTTTCACTTCGGAATTAAATAGACGATTAAGCACAGCGGCAAGGCGAATCCCACCTTGAGCAAGCCTCTTCTCCACAATAGGCAACCGAGAAAGGAAATACTCGTCTATGGAACAAAATAAGAATGTGTTAAAAGAAAGATGAGACATGTTCAAATAAGATAATTTATCTGCTCCTCATCGAGAAGATGGCAATCATGTACTAAATAACATTATCTGAGCATTTTAGCATGTCCGTATCCATTATCCAAGCCATACTGAGCGAACCATGTGTAAGAAAAAATAGCATTCAAAAGGGACGATAGAAGAGAAGGATAATAGAGTTCATTGATTTCTTCAATGGTTAGCAGCAATCCGATGTTCATGTAAACCACCTAATACAGGAACTTATAGAGACAGGTGAAAAGACCAATAATCAAAATGTTTAAGCCAGTTGATAGACATAGTAGCATTAATTTTGCCATCTCTCCCCAACAAGTTGTTACTTTGATTTAACTCAACAGCGGAGCAAACATATGTTCCATAGAGAAGCATCTTCCGATTATCAAATAAGAAAAAGAAAGTGACAGAAGAAGAAAATACCTTCTAATGTACTTCCCGGAGTGGCATTCCTGTATGCAAACTTGCAAGCCAACCTAACACTTTCGGAAGCATACCTGTTTTGCTACTTAAAGTGATGGCGGTTCCTTGTAAAACAAAACATTTTTACCTCTTTTTCTACTTAAAGTAACTCAAAATTAAATTAAAAACGTATTTGTATGCTTGGAGCATGCATATCTACATATTTCCAGGTGAATTTCTTTTAATGTGTTTTGACAATTTACATCATAGTAAATACAGTTGAAGCAGTCCAGCATATGCATCAGAACGAGTTGAAAGAATAAGATGTGTGACATGTACTTACAGGTTAGGACAAACAGTTTGATTATGTCCACAATTCTCCCATGACGATATATCGTTGGACCAAGCATCCTATATGAAAAAGAAACACAACAACAGTGTCACACTTTGGCAATTGAATGTGCCGTCTTAAACATGAATACAGGTCTAAACCCCAAGGCAAGAAGGGAAAGAAAGGCCCAAAAATAACAAAAAAAAGGGGGGGGGGGACCGGAGAAATTCTTAACCACCAAAAGTCCAAATTAAACTTCAGTGCTTTGCCAGCAGTTACCAATTGAATAAAAAATACTGAATGATTCAAGATATTCAAAGGACGTGAACATAAAACATATACGGTCTGTGCAGTTTACTTCAATATTTTACACCTTTAATAGCGCTCATCTGTTATCTGTAGTAGCTACATGCACAAGTAAATATGAAGGAAATAAAAAAGCTTACAGTAATATTCCTCTGGATGGCTTGAATCATTACTTCAAGATCTGAATGATAGAATGTCTTCAAAGCAGACTCAATAATCATGGTATCCCAGACCTGTAACAATGACAGTACTGGATTAAACTGCATACAGATGGAACAAATTGGCTCCAACCACAAATACCCACTTTCTCATGCATTATTTTATCAGTACTTTTAGCATGAATCACTTTTTTGGAAAATTTGTTAAGAGGGGGAGATCTCCATCCAAACATTCTGACAAACAAGTTGTCAAGTCGGGCCAGAAAGAAGAGTTATCACTGGATCTAACATCAGTCAAGGAAGTGCAAGGAAATGGTTTTCCCGACTGAAGTACACATTTGCCTCAAATGAGTCACACTCGCACCTCAAGCACCTTCATTTCTTTTCTTTTCTTTTTATACAAGCAGAAATGACAGTGACGGGTTGAATCAATTGCTGCTTGTTGCTTAACGGCCAACTTCAATGCCTGCTAACCAGCTATTATTGCTTTGAAATGTAACTCATGTGCCCCTTCCCATCATAATAAAGCGGAAGGTAGCATAATGAGAGTAACATATTAGTGCAAATTTAATTTGCTTTAACATCATCATTTGGCACTTATCACAGGGTAAACGAAAAATGAATGCTGGACGGAGATAAACCTAAAATGGACAGAGAAGAGCTCACATGGTGTAGGTTTGTCTTCCTACGGTACCAGTGGACTGTAATTGTATTCCCACCTAAATCTCCTAAGAAGCCAACATGTAATGGCTGTAATCAGAAAAGAAAATGTTAGTGCGCTGAGTGTACACCCTCTTTTTCAACAAAAAAATAGGTAACAAATTTTCTTTCATATTTCCGCATCAAAGTGAGAAGCTAACCGGTTTAAAAAAGGATAAAAGGGTAAATGGATATAAGCAACACATTCCAGATGGGTCAGGATTTTCTATACAATTGTGGTTTCCAGTCAAAAATTGCTAAAAGAAGATCGTAAAACAAAGTACATGACAGAACCAGAATTACAGAAAATTTTCTTTGCACCTTCAAAAAAGTATATCATTTAAAACTACAATATATCATTCTAGAACAACGGACTTTAAGCATTAAGCTGTAGCATTCAACGATTGTCTTTAACAACCATCAATCCTATTAAACAAGTAAAACCCTTGTTTGAGAAATCTGCACTGCACTACCAAGTCTTCTAAATAAATCATGGTAAATGAAGTAGGTTTACACCAAACTTTTTTCCATTTCTTCTTTCACTTCTTTTAAACTAGTCGGCAAAGTAATACAGACTTAAGATTATTTTTTTCTGAGTTAACAAATGATCATAAACCATGTTCCTCAGATCAAGTCAGCCATTCATCCAATTCCAATATAACCGCACAGTTTGTAACATTGCATCTTTAGGAATACCCTTAAGTTGAGAGGTACCAGAAGAAGGGCACAAACCTGATGGACATCCGAATATAATGAACTATGAACATAAACGCCTCTGTCAAGTTGTCTGTTACCAACAGAAGACGAATCACCATACAAGGGTTAAAAATATAATGCCATAGCCTGTGTAAGTGGCAACTATGAGTAAGAACAAACTTACAATTCAACTGAGGACTATATCCCTTATATGCTGAAAAAATTTGCTTTGTATAGTTGAAAATGGCTCCGGTTACGCAACTATTTTTATGTCCATAAGAATCATGGCAGTCTCCTCTAAGACATAAGTATCCGTGAGCAGAAATGTTAAGAGAATCAACTACAAAGCAACATTTACATTACCAGAACCAAAACATGAAAATAAAAAGACACTAAACTTACGGCAGTATTTATAGTTACACAAGAAATCTGGGGTGTCAACATAGTGTAAGGGACTAGTCGGCTAGTCCAGTGCCATTTATAGTACCACTTTATGCCATCAGCCCAGGAGCATACAGATGCAAGCTCACCTCCAGCCAAATCAGGGAACAATTCCCTTACTGTAGCCAGAGCATCTTTAGTAAGATATCCCTGAAGGATCAAGAAGAGCATAATTAGATGAAATTGTCATCATATTCTGATTCACAGCCAATTGATGCAAAATATCATACTCTCAGGAAATGAATCCATGTAGAATTGCTAGTTACACGCACAAAATAGTTAAACACATACACCAAAAACAAATAAAAGAACCAACCAACCGTGACTGTTCGAAGAACTGGTTTTCCTTAACCGATCTATATGATCTTATGGTTCAAAATATTTGGAGAGTCCATTTACTACTCAAGAATCTAATGTTCCAGATAATACACAAAAATAAATTTAAAAAAGTAAAAAGAGAACAGAAGTCTAACCTCAGCTATCTTGCAAAACGGCATAATGACCATCCTTTCCCCAACCAACCATCCCATGAATCAATTGCATAAGTACAAGCAGTCTTCCAATCCATAGGAGCTGATGCCAACCCATTTTTCCAAAACCTTTTAATTGACTTCTGTGAAGAATCAAAAGCCAATCTTGTTATTTGTGTTTAAGGGGAAACAGTTTAATGTTTCATGTTGAGTCCTCTGTTTGATTGATAAGATGAATAAAAAAAAAACAATTAACAGAATAAGAAAAACAAAACCTTTTGAGTTTTGACCCCATCATTATATTCTTTATGGGTTTCTAGAAAGGGGTTCTTTTCTTCTAATTTGGATACCAAATCAGAACAAACATTTTCTCAGAAAACAAGCAAAAATTAGATCATCCAGTTACTAAGTTAACCCAAAAACTAAAAGAAGAAAAGGATAAAGGCCATTACCTTAAAATATCTCGCTTTTGATCCAGGGAAAAGCGGGAACGTTATATTTTTCGTAAAAGAGAGATTAGTCTTG